ATTCGAAAAAACATCAAAAGTATATGTACTGCGCATGACTGGACTACACAGGCAAAGCTCCCCGGTGTGTTATTCATTTGCATCTACTAGGCCAAAGAATATAGGCTAGGCCTACCCGTTTGCAAAACCTGAAAAAAAAAAATAAATGCATGGCTCGCATGACTCGCACATTGGCTCGCATGACTCGCAAATTGGCTCGCATGACTCGCTGGCTCACACTTTGGCACTACTCGCCTAGGTAGGGGCTATAAGTGTTACAGTTACATTACAAATGATAGTATCTGCTCAGTAGCACTGCGTCAGCCTAACAATTCCTGGGCTGGCTGAATAGTAGAGTTTGGTTTGAACAGGCCACAACAGAGTATGTAGGCCTACGTTTATTTTTTTCAATGCAAGTAAAATAAAATAGTAGGCTACATAAGGCACATAGAATTTATTTTATACTACATGAACATTAAAATTACAAAAGGAGAACAATGTACGCCTCGACTATACAACTTGTACACTCAGCAATTTTAATAAGCATGATAAGAGAAAAAAAACATAGTCAGCATTATTTTTTGTGATTCTTTTTAATAATTACTGTTTTTAATACCTTAAAACAGACATTTTACTATTATTAGGGAAGTACTGTATATATACAGGATCTTAATCAAAAATGTATATTTATGTGATGAGCCAACAAACTTGAAAATTTCAATAGAATATTGTAATTTTCATAAAGCTAATATTTTAATTTTCTTTTTAATTGAAATGTTTTTCCCATATAGGTTGTGTATCTTTAATGTGATGATTGGTTGTCTCTTGAGTCAATCTTTGGTGAACTTTACATAATTATGGTGATTTTAGAAAGTGTGCTGTAACTACTGTATTACATACTGTAATAGTTACAATTTGCGATAAGAAATTCATAGAAATTATTAAAGTAATTATTTTAATGATGATTATTCAAACTGAGTACTGTACATGATAATCTTGTTACAATGCAAATAAAATTAAAATAATGAAGTTGGATTTTTTTCAGTTTCACTCTTTTTTTTCGATGCATATTCCTTAAATTCAAAATGTTCACTGTTAGTGTATAATGTAGATGTACATGTAGGTGTTTCATGAAAATGATGACATCTGATTAGGTACTTTATGAAATATTACTACTTAAATATGGCTCAAAAAACAATTTTTCAGTATTATTAACCAAATCTCAGCTGTTCGGGCTTTACTTATGACAGATAGGAATATTTCCACAAGTTCAAATTTTGCAAGTGTATTTTTCCAGCTATCCATACACCAAATATGAGTTTGTTTGATAATTTAATTAAGTCGAAAAAATGAAAAAATGGCCCCAGACTCCAAAATGCCAAATTAAATTGCACTTTCAGTTTTTTATTATAATGTAGGTTAATTTTTTAGAAAATGTGTATAAATGTATTTATGATGTATTTACAAACTTATATTGTATAATTTATTTGAACCTGATGGGAATATATAACTCGGTTATAACAAAGTATAAACAAACAATGTGCCGTAGGTGATGTCCACTCAGCGGGCCACTGGCTGTAAATCTAAAAAGGCACTCTTAATGGGTTTTATTCCCGCGATCGGGGTGTACTTTTTGAGATTATATATTGTTAACTGAATATGTTTCACATATTGTATTAAAAAGTTCTCTATAAAAAAAAAGTCAAAGATGGCCCTTTGCCAAAAACTGCACTTTTTTAGTTTGGGTGCACACTCGAGTACAAATATCTCTTTCAGTAATCAACCACATGTCATCATCATCATCATCATTGTATGGGTAGTCAAGTGGCTTGGAAACACGCAGAAAAAAAAATTAGATTAGAGGACTAATCTAACTTTAATTGATAATAGAATGCCTAATTTCACCAGGTCATAAAAAATAAAGTACGGATACATTTTATTCAAACGTGCTGAAAATATTCATGACATAGGTATCAAAGTCTATAGTGGCGGAAACAGGAATTTAAAATAGAGGGGGGGCCCAGAGAAGATGGACGGTCTACCTCAGGCCTACCATGGTTGGGGCTGAGGTGTAAGAAAATTTATGATTATGGCACCTCTGGACGGCCGGAATTGGCACTCTCAGACTTTAACTTGAGTAGAATATTCTTTTTTTTTTTCTAAATGTTAATTTTGAAAAATTTAGATGGTGGGACTGGGCCTTCCCTTAAATCCGAAATTGGTTTAATATATTAATTCAGTATTTACTTGACAATCGAATCTCTGTGAGGTCTATTTGTATTCTCTAACTAGTATGTATATTGACGATGTCCAGGGTCCAAGCCTTTTATAATTATTAATTGACGTAAAAACTTTAATTTACTGTTTGATAGTAGTCATGAAAAAGAATGAAGCGATTACCAGCTTTCATCGATAAACGTTCAGCTTTATTTACAATTCTCGTGGGGAAAAACACATAAATGATATACTGGATGAATGTATACGTTTAATAATAACTTGTTACACAAACCTGTTGGAACAAAAAATATATGTATTTATTTTATTTTATTTTATTTTATTAAGGTATAACACACAAAACAAAACAGCAGCCAAAGGCTGAAAACATTTGTTTACAATCAACAAATAAAGACAACATAGGAAAACAAGTCAGGTGGAAAAATACATATCGAAATATCAAAACATTCAAATAATTCATAATAATATCATAAGATTCAAAAAATCTTAGTTTTTGGCAAATTAGCACACCTGCTGCCACGAAAAATGGAAAACTTTAGAAAAGTAAAAGTGTTTCATTATTTTTATTAAGCCTGGTGCTGCCCTGAAATCTCAAAAATAAGATGTATATTTCTTGCTAATTATATAAATTCAAAGCATTTAACCATCCCATTATTACACTGGTTACATTCACCAATAACATTTTATTTTAACTTTTTCCTCCGTCTGGATTTTTATTAGAAATTCTATAGAATATTCTATACAAATGATATGACAAGTTCTCTATAATAAAACTATAAAATTTCTATATTTATTCTATAAAAAATTATAGTCCTTACTTGTATTTAAAAAAATATATTATAACAATTTTATAGGGATTATCTCTATAGGAACATATAAAATCTATATAGAGTATAACATAAATGAAATTTCAATATTAATTTATTTATAGTATATTCTGTAGAACTGTATAATATTCTAAACACAGTAATTTTAAAAACTGTAACTTTTTATAGTCTATAGAAAAAATATATATAAAAACTCTATGGAAACGTTCATAATCTGTAAAATTGTTTCTCTATAGAAAGTATATATAAAATGAATACGAACGCTATGGAAGTGTTTATCTGTAAATGAAATATTAAAAATTATTTTGAAAATTATATCTATAAAAAAATTATGTATTGAATGTATATATAAAATCTATTCAAACACTATGAAACATTTCTGGAACCGCTAATACATTGGTAGGCTTATGGGAACTATGGGGGGGGGAGAGGGAGCGGGTCTGTAGTCCTCTAAACTTATCCCTCCCCTATTCACCATTTCATCAAGTGACCAATCAGTTGATTTGAATTGGCACTTCATGTAGAGCAAACGGAAGCGGTAGTATTTTGAATTTTTCTCTGGACTTTCATGATGTTAGGCAGTTATAAACATACCGTACTCCTAGGAAGGGGTGCAAGTCAACTCAAGAGAGATTTGTAGCCAAACTTTTTGTGGCCGAGTTGACTGTGGCCGAGTTGGATCGAATTCCTTGGAAGTACAGTATTTTAGCAGTACTGTATTCACTATCAAGTGGTAAGAGAGTTGGGTTTGTTTTATTATTTAGTTTACTATTCTAGCAGACACGCTAGCCTCCTCCTAG